TGTAGTATCCCAAATAGCAGTTCTATGAAAAGCCACTGCAGGTGCAAGTTTATTTAAAAACGGACCACTGCACAGGTGCAATTCTTCTTATAAACATTTAACCACAAACAGTGCTGTAAAAATCTTGTGGAAATCTGTTGGAAAACAATTTGTTTTTTGTCTTAATTTTTTAATTTTTAGCAAGAATTTGGAGTGGTTTCTTTTTTATTGTGAATTCTTTTTCAATTTGTTTTTTGCCTCCTGGTATCTAAATATAAACGTTACAAATACCATGATTGAGTTTTGCAGTGCTTATATACAGAGATGAAAATGTTTGGGCCTAAAAATGCCAATTAAAAGAAATTCCCCCAGACAGATATGACTTTTGATGCTATGAGAATTCAAATGGGCTGGGTTAGTTTAAGTTCCACTTTTAGCTTTAGAATCACAAGATTGATTCTAAAACTCAAATGTTAAACTTGTACAATTTAAATATGTAGAAGTACATGGTATCATCTACTATTACTATAGTTTTCACTGTGTTGCATCTTTAGGGTTTTTTTTCCTTACTGCTTATTTGTGTGGCCATACTCTTTCCCAACTCATGTTTTGTTCTTACTTGCTGTTTCATTTCTTGGAATAATGTTTTTCTGACTCTGATAAACAGGATAATGTTCCCCTCACAGACCCCAGAACTGTGACTATGTTATCTGTCACATAGCAAAAACAACTTTTAGATATGATTAATTGTTAACCCTAGACTATCTGAATATGCTCAATATAAGTACACTAAGCCTTTACTAACCAGAATAAGCAGAGTTTAGAGAAATGGGAAAGGTGGGAATGATTTCACCCGCCATTATTTTCTTTGATGGTGAAAGAGGTTATCACCGGAAATGTTGTTAGGCTCTGAAGCTGAGAATTTCTGACTGCCAGCAAGAAAATAGGGCTTTACAATGTCAAGGGCTTACAATGTAAGACTCAAGAACTGAATCCTCCCATCAACTTTAGTGAGCTCAGAAGTCGTTTTCTTTTAAAATCTTAAGAACTCAAGAACTGGGACTATAGCTTAGTGATAGAATTTCCCAGCCTGCATGAAGCCCTGGAGTTAATCCCCAGAATGAGGGGGTAAGGGTTAGGGGGAATAAAGGTCAGAGCCTTGGTTAGCCAACACCTTTTTTCCTACATTGCAAAACTGGAGTAGACCAGTTAGCCTTGCCTAACCAGATTTCTGACTTAATAGGATGCTGGTGGTGAGTTGTACTCAGTTTTGGTCATTTATTATGCCAGCATAGATGCCTTTTTTGTTTCTGTGTTATCCTAGATTGTCTTCTTTAGAGAGCCTTTTCTTTTTTTAAATTTATTTATTATTATTTATTTATTTTTTATTGTGAGAATACTGTATAGAGGAGTTACAATTACATGGGCAAGATAACGAGTACATTTTTTTATCAAGCATTGTTGCCTCCTCTTTGTTTCCCCTTCCCATCCCTTCCCATACTTGCCCTCCCCCCCCACCTGATCCTCCCCTCCCCCAACTAAAGTTGTAAAGTTCGTATTTCGACATAACGACTTGTACATCTCATTGTTACAGTGGGTCCACCTGTATCCCTATTTAAACGATTTGTTTTTGCCCTTCCCCTCCACAAATTATAGCAACATCAAATACAGTGAAAGCAGGGGTTATACCGTGGGGGAGGGACATACAAAGCAACATAGAAATCATCTTATAGACTTGCAAAAAATTATATTAAGTGAAGTAAGCCAGGCCCAAAGAAACATAGGTCCCGGGGCTGGGAAGGTGGCTCAGTGGTAGAGCGCTTGCCTTGCATGCT